CATTTCCCATCTGATTTTTTTGTATTACTCAATACATTGTTGTGAGACATTTTGATAAATATCAGCAAAACAAGAGACATTTTCTACATTTTAACTTCCATTTACTGCAACCAGATCCATTTTTTCCCCTAGTGGTATTATATGAAAAACAAGTTAGCAGCCTGCCGTGAACATATTTGTCAATGAAATGCAACGTGTATGTAAAGTAAACAGAATAAAAAGAATCTGAAGCAATCAGGAAGCAAGAGCTGGTATGATTATGTTGCAGTGATGACTTATAGTCATAAACAAAATGAATAGCCTGATGTCAGATTCTGCAAAACCCTTCAAATAGCTTTTAAAAGGGCAAATAAATACCCAAAGGTATTTTTATTTCTCATTAAAAGTCCCAACATCTGGATAGTTGCCATTACTGTAGGTGTCCTTGGTCTGCCATAATAATTGGTTCATATTTGCATCAATTGAAGCCCCTTATTAGTCTGTGGCTCTTTGCACATGTATTCTTCAACATTCAGCTCAGGACCATGGAAAACATCCAGCATTGCACAAGCGTAGCTGTCACGGATTGGTGGAATCGGGCTTCGGGACAGATGTATCCTTGCTGTCAGATATCTCCTTGGCCCCCTCACCTCATAATATTCCCCAAGGACATGGCATAGATCCACTCCATGATTGCAATCAACCTTGACTTCCACACAAACAAACAACTATCCTTCACCCCGGCTATCGCCAAGCTGGCTCATGCCAGGCAATTCACGAGTACCAGCATTCATTGAATCGCTTCGTCTCGTCTAACTGAGAAACCCCATGGCCTGTGCAATTGACTCTTCCATGAGCCATACAACAGCTCTGCAAGACTAACAATAATAGAGAGCTTTGTGAGGCCAGAGTACGTCAAACTCTGAAATGTTTCATTTCAGACTCTTTCCTTATTGAATGTATACCCCTAACGCTCACCCCTGACGGTAGATGTCATTGGCATTAGGAGAGAGAGACAGGATCACCTTCCTCCTCTTTTGTAGACAGAAAGGGTTTTATACCCACCTGACAAAAAGATAGAATCCAGATGCTTACATATTTCATTAGATTCTAAAGGCCTTCATAATTCATGGCACTGACCGTATATTACTGCTTTTGTTTACCTACATTTTCCACCACAGTGCCGGCGATCATCATGCCTGAAGGCTGCTTTCGTTTGAATACCGGCTTGCTCTGCCGGGTAGAGCCGAGGTCTTGAATGTTGTATTTGAAGGCCAAGGTCAAAATATGAAGCTCCTTTCTACCTCAGACACCTCTGTGTCTTTGTTCATTATGTTTTAATAGATGATGGCAGCTAGCTGGATGAAAATGTCCACCTACAGGGACGTCTTCATGTATAGCCAGCCTGTTGTCACGTAAATGCGTCTCTATCTACGCTATCTCACGACCAATGAGGTCGTACGAATTGTTACGAATTAGCCACCTCGTAAAATTCGTACGAATTCCCGTGAGATCGGGTTGTCTCTATAGCACACATTGTGTTTTATCGTGCAATTTAAACGCGGAAATGAGTTTTTATGTGCATGTGATATGCAGTTTTCGCATGCATTTGATACGCAGTTCATTTGTGTGTAATACACACCCCAACCACTGATTCTACCCAAACGCATAATACACACACAAATCACACCACTACTAAACTTATCCTAACCCATGCGTATCCTATGCACGTAAAAACTCATTTTCGAGTGTTCATTGCGTGACAAACACCACGCGCGCTACAGAGACGCATTTAGTGTGATCGGATAATTCAATCATCCTCTTAGAGATGGACAACAGTGGTGAGCCAAATGTATATGCAAGGTTAGTAATGATCGCTAATAACAAGGTTATAGTTTCCTAAACATCTTTTAAATGCAAGCCTGTTTATTCAACATCAGAATGCTAACAAAGATGTGACTTTGATTGTCTGAATAATACGTATCCTCTGCGTAGCCTGACAGGATTTTTTTAAGAGGCCAATGAATGCCTGGAGGAAAGGGGGAACCGTAACAAGTCATTCTTTAAAGGCAGGTTGGATAATACAGAGGCATGGTCATGTTTTATAGGGAAGAAAGATCAATCCTCTCTGAAAGAACTTGAATGTTAATATACTGAGGCACACCTTGCAATTTACCTCCCTGGTCTTCAGCACCGTTCCCTGCCAAGCTGTGCTAGACTGATAAGGTATATTAGAGTGTTCTTTCCTCCAATGATTTCTCTTTGTGCCATTGGTAATGAGTCATGGATCCGGTAGGAGGGCCAGTCACATGCAGACGAAGGGATGCATAGAGGAAAACCCCATTTGATCATATCAGCAAAAGAAAAAAAAAAAACAATGTGGAAACACAGCTTTGTGCAATTCTTTAGCTTGTTCATTCAAATGAGCTCATATTACACAAGTACCTTTTTATCACATTAAAGAAACTGCATAATCACTAAAACATTAGTTTAGATTTTACTACAAGAGGTGTAATTAACACTCTGTGTAGTCATCTTGATTACAAGTGTTGGTTCGATCTGCTTTGCCCATGGGAAATCGCAGCTTGATGTGTTTTATACCAGGAGAAACCACCATTTTACACTGGGTGTTTTGTGAAAAGTACTGAAAAGTAGGTGTACAGTATGTAACACTTTGCTGTTAATGTCCCAGCTAAATTATGAGAAACATATGAGACAGTTTGTGTTTTTATGTGTTTTATTCTGACTGAATGAAACGTACAGACTTGTAAGTTTTCATTTTAAAAGTATAGAAATATCATAAAAGTAAAATCTAATTTATTCTTTTTTTTTTTTGCTATGTGCATTATGCTATTATTGGCAACATTTCTTTAGGCACCATTATCATTATTAACATATTTAGTAGATCGAAATGAGTTGGTATATTAACATTTAAACTTTTAATGGCACTGTTATGAACTCTATAAGTTAGGGATAGTTAGTCACCGAAATGCCTCTCATTATGCCTATAACACATGTCAGCATCCTTCCAGTTTTTCCTGTAAATTAGAAGATATTTTTTTACCATAAAAAAATACAGTGTAATGATGCTGTGCCAAAAATGGGAAAACCTAAGCAGCGAGAAAAATGTAACTGCAGGCTTTCGTACATTAGAAATGAATATGATGTCGCATTCTGAACCCGGCATGAATTAACCAGTGAGTGTTTTAATTACTGAGCACAAAGGGAACACTTCACACTGTTAAATATTGTCACTCTGTCCTTTATGTGCCCCTAAAAATTCAGACACAGGTATCCAGTGTCACACGTCATTAGATTATCATGGTTGAGGTGGTGGAGAAGAGCTATCTAAAAATGCTTGGCATACAGTTCTATTGAAAGACAATCTAGCAGACAGAGCAAGGACAACAGCAGTGACTCAGATGCACTATGAAATCATTATCATTGGTGCTTTTTATACATGTCACCAATGCATTTAAGATTTTATTCACATATGCTTCCTCAAAAATGTTACACTCACTGTCCATTACAGCGGGAAATAAAACAATGTCCAAGATTAGATGTGCAGCATTGACATTTAAACTGCTCTGTGCATTTGGTGGATTCTCTAGCCCTATCAGAAATGCATAAATGGTTTCTCTAAAAGTTCATTTTGAGGGTGGCAAAATAGCCATCTGAATAATTCATGTGGTATTTTGTGCCTTTCATTTTGCTTTAAGGGTTTCAGATTTGCATTTCTTTAACATGCCTAGGAGAAGTCCTTCAGTGACATGTAGTATAAGAATCTTAAAAATATGAAGGGATCAACCCTTTTAGGTATAGCTCTCGCATAGCTACATTACTTGATGAGGGAGAGAAGCTCCTGGACACTCCGAATTTCTCCAAAGATGTAGGTGTGTAAATTAGCATGACCACTCTGTCTAACTGGGGAGACATTTCCCTGCGGTGTTATGAAGGAAGCAATTGTAGATGTAGCCCTAAAACAATGCCTGGCAATGGGATGTTAAACACTGTAATTGTTTAAGAGTTCAAGAACTGTAAACAAGTAATTGCACACAAGAATTGAACATGATTTTTTTTTTTTTTATATAAATGCAAGCTTTCCAAACTTATGGGCAGGTCACACTCAATTGAAAGTGTGACCATTTAAAAGCTTGCTGAGGTACAGCATGCAGGACATGATTGATGTTACAAAGGTTATGGCTTTTGGTAAGAAAAGCTAGCTTGAGGGGCCCAGTCAAACACTGTGATTTGTTACATTGCAACAGTGTAAAAATTAATGGGAAGATCAATGTGTACATGTTGTGTGAGTGACCTTTATTGAATGTGGGGCTGTGCAATATTTTCAGCCGTCCATGGCGATAGAAAGTGCTGGATTGTGCTGATGAACGACTTTTCAGATAGGTTAATTGAAGGGTGTTCTTTCTTTAAATTATATATGTCTGATTTGAATACATTAGTGCGGACCGGGCAAGCCGTAGTACATTATATTGAAAAACAAAAAACAAAAAAACATATATATGTTTTTGTAAATCTTAGGCTATTTCGATGGTCCACTTTAGTCATTCTACTAACTATAACTTTGCAACTACATGTCTGTCTGTCTGTCTGTCTGTCTGTCTGTCTGTCTGTCTGTCTGTCTGTCTATCTATCTATCTATCTATCTATCTATCTATCTATCTATCTATCTATCTATCTATCTATCTATCTATCTATCTATCTATCTATCTATCATTAGTAAAGTATAATGAGGTAGTTTAACGTTGGACTTCACACACAAACCCGTGTTTATAAGGAAAGCGAACAGTGCCCCCTTTTCCTCTCAGGCGAGTAGCGGCGTTGATGTGAGGTGAGTGCGAGCGAGCGGGGCTCTGACTCCAGCAGCAGTGCGGCTTTAAGATGATGAAGGCTATGAAATTTATCGCAGGCTCCTCCTCCCGCGATGATGTCAATCGGAGGTGGAGAGGTGGGCAGTTCTAAGGAACTGAGTTCATGCAATACAACAGAGATTGCTAGAGCTCTGCGTACAACTACGGCAAAACGCCTCAGTGTGTGGAAGTGATGCTACACATATAGGCACACCTGCTCCGTTGCACTGACAGTCCATGAGTTTTTCTCAAAATTGATATTCTCTATCACCCTGCCAAACCACGGGATGCCGTTAAATTACGCGTCCGAGGACGGCTTAAATGATTTACAAGTTCTTTAGTCGTTAATTAAACGCACAAAAATGAAAAGAACAACTTCACCAAACAGTTTAAGTACATGCGAGGTGCATTCCCAGGTTTTCCTGTGATGACTGTATGAATGCACTGAAATAAGAAGTCCTGCACATTGACAACCCTATTTGGAGCACCACTATCTCTCCGCGCGCGTGGGATTCAAGCAGTAGCCAGGCGCGAGACATCTGAGGAATTACATCTTCTCTTCTAAAAGTCATTCACAGATGTTTTTCGCTGTTCGTGCGTGGACCGTGGACTTTTTCATGGACATGGATCGTTTTTTCTAGTTGGATACCGACTGGTCACTACGTGAAGCAGTTTGATTCTGGGATTTTCTTCAGTCTGCACGGCACTTCATCTCCTCCAGTAGTGATGCCGCTACGTGACGGGAATTGAGAGTTCCTTATTCACTGAGAAATCCGAGGTAAGACACGTCTTCTTTATGCTCATTCAATGGTTATTTCTTTATCTTATGCCAAGAGTCAAGAGAAATGTGTAGGATTTTAGCGCGCTACCTACTTATTTAAGAGGATCGGTCGTACTTAGCCTACTTTAACGTCTTTAAAATATCGTGAATTTGATTAAATATACACTTAAAGGCTACATGCACTGTTCGGAAAAAAAAGTCGAAGGGCATTTGCGAACAAAAGTCGATGTGTTTAAGTTTGCCTGAGGAACATAAATTTATTAGGTTATCTATTTAAAAAAATATGGTAACACGAACTGCAGAATTTCCCTATAGCGCTTCACTTTCCGTTTGGAGATGCGCTAGTCTAGTTTGTCAATTCGGATCATGACTTTGTTACACAAAAGTATCGTCCAACGTGTCCGATTCAACGCAAGGCAAAGTCGCGTTAAAGCATTTTAGTCAGAACGTCTACTGCCAACACGTGAATAATAACAGCATAGCAACTGCAAGACACCATCTAACTTCTGAAGCATTCTCTGTAACCATTGGCTTTGGGATGATTTTTGGTTTGTAATTATTTAGAAGCTATGAGCAAAATATTATCTTATTCTATAGCTTTCTATTAAGGAAATGGCCACATCGCATGCTACTCAAAAATGCACGGCTGTAGCCTTTGCAGCTCGCGAGACAGAAGAGCATCAGCAGATGAAGTCGGAAGCTGATCCAGGATGCGTCATTTTCTAAAGCGGTGTGCTGGACGAGGCAGAACAGAAATACTTTGAGTTAAATAGGCTACAGATCCTGTCCCTAAAAAAAATAAAGTAAAAAAAATATTGTTTAATATTTTTCTTTTTTTTTAAGAATTCCATAAGCTCTTAGAAATAAATGTTATTTAATTGCTTATATTTTCAGCCAACCGTTTTTTTTTTTGTTGTTGTTTTGTTTTTTGTTAATGAATATTTGGTTCTCATTAGATTAAAAGAGTTCTTATCAGTATTGACGTTGTGCTTCTTTAAATCAGTATATAGATAGTTTTCTCTACAACAAGAAAATAATAGCTAATAGCCCAATATTAATAATAAAACGTTTATCCTATTTAACTTATGTAACCTTAAATATTAAAACGTTTATCCTATTTAACTTATGTAACCTTTAATATTAAAAGTGTAGATTGTATGTTACTTCTTTAAAAGTGTTGTTAACTTGATAATTAATATTCATGTACAAAAAACAGAAATGAAAATAACAGATTCTTAAAGCCTTACACGGTTTGTAAGTGATCCCAATATCAATTTATCAGTCTTGCCATAATAATAACTTTTGTTACTATGGTATTTAGCTGCTAAATTGCAATAGTTACCATGGTAATATTTAAGGGAAGTGTTCAAATGTACACTGGAGTGCGATGTACTGTAGATGTAGCCCATTCTCTTTGCTTTGCACACATTTTGTCACTAAGTTTTGCATCAAACGACCTTTGATGACACGTATGAGTCAAATCTGATTCATTTCTAATTTATAGGGACGAGAGTTCAACATTGTTTCATGCTCCAAGGCAAAATGATGCAACTGGTTTTATTTTTTTAAAGTGGGTCTCTGGTGGTTGAGCAACACTCAGATGTGGAGAAATTCAACAGGCCTTTCTCTTTAAAACTTATTGTTTGTAGTAATTCGTATCTGTTCACACACCCCCTCATGATGTGTGGAAAGTACTGAACCCCTTGAGTGGATGCTGAAAGAATGTTGTGAAATTATACAAGAAACAAAAAAATTCCAGTAGATAGCACCAGCATAATTTATTGCCACAAGTAACGCTTATTCATTTTTTCATGCATTACTGTATGCCTAGCCTATATTTTCAATGTATTTATCAATACTTTGTGGTTCTAAATATATTGAATGTTGTGTTGTCACAATATAGTGAACTATTACGCAAAATAAAAGATTTGTCTTTATAGATCAAAGTTCTGGCACATATAAATGTGTGAGTTAAATTCTTTTTTGTATATGAAACATTTTTGATGGAGCACTAAAAGTATGATGATGATGAAGATAGATGATGTAACACGATAGCGATATACAATGCATGTCTGAAAACAGTTTTGACTGTAATGTAGTTGCCTGTAATCCAATAATGCAACATACATGGTTAAGGCTTCAGTAATTGATTACAGCCACATGCATGAAGTCAAATGTTTTAATAAACATTATTCTATCGTTGTAAGCTACCGATATCATTTTTAATAGTAACAGCATATGATGAACAGCAAATGATATCAATTTCACGGTTATCTTCTGCAAACTTAAAAAAAAGTAGAAATACTAAATTGGCTGAAGAAAAAAAAAAGATGCATGCGACAACGATTATCCCTGTCAATGCCGAATACTGAAACTGCACTGCGGTGCTGGTCAATGTGGTTTCACTTGATACAATGTCCTTGCATATTATACAGAGTGTCTTGCATTATCTGATCATTAGAATAAGAGTTTGCTTCCAACTATATTTAATTATTAATATGAATGGTTATTTACTGTATATCAGTTGTCTTATTTTGACCACACTGTGTCCACTCCAGTACCCTCTATTGGCAGTTTTATTTATCTATTTATTTATCAATCATGCCATGCATTGTAATAATAAACAAATCATGCTTTACCACCTTAAATATATAAGATAATAAAGTAGTGTATTTTATATTTTTTTTGTTTATTTATTTATTACATTTTAATAACAAGGTGAGCTGATATAATTTGTGAAAATGCATGGGTATGTGTTTTGAAGAATTCAATGGACATAAAAGCTCTCTAAATATTCAGCATAAGACAAACCATAAAAGTTGTAGTGGGAAAAAAGAACAAAAGGTCCATTTCATTTGTAAAAATCCATTGTGATTCCCTGCTGTCATTTATAACTTATAGAATTGATACATTTAATTATTTATTTATTCCAAAGAGAAAATTTAAGGGGTAAGAGTGAAGATAAATGGTGCCTCATAGGCCAAAAACCACCCTTTAAGATTTAGTTTCATTGGCATGTTGTACACTTTGCAATGTTTAAAATCAATCTAGGAGAATGATATATCACCAACTGACATGCTGTTCCACTGAAAGTGCCCACGATAAATTGCCTAATGTTGGTCTAAAGAATTAAATCAAATTTTACTAAGATTATTTATGATTCAAATAAGCAAAATCCCCATGATGATTCATGGTTCATTATTTTACGTAGAAACACAAAGTCACTCACGGGTCATTCCCGGCTGATCCTAGCCATAACTTATTTTTGTCGTCTGACCGCATGGAAACTTTAATAAATTGATGAATGGCAGACATGACTGTTTAGATGCATGATCTTTGCTGACAGACATAAATCGACTCCATCGCGTTGGCTACATCTGTTTATCCGTTGCGACTGGCAGCCTGTTTGGTATGTTAATACCTCCCTATTGATCATTCAATTGATCATTGGTCCTTCGGATCAGTGTAGTCGCCATCAAAGCTACTCAAAGCCAGTTTGTGTATTTCACTAGGATCCTAACTTTATATGACGCATCAGTCTAGCCTATTCAGGTACATACGAGTGACTAATTAACAGATATAAAAATACGATAATGATGTTGCATGACAACACTAATAAAAGTAATAAACACATTTATTAATTATAGATGCTTTTCATAAGCACCTATTTGATATAAAAGAGATGTTTTCATGATGCATTAAGGCTAAATAAATAATTAAAAACATGTTTCCTTTTGATGAAAAGGCTGACATCCTGACTACACAAGAAAGACAGCAGGTAGGCCGGGTGAACAGCTGGCAGGGGGTTATGGGTCTCAAGCTGCTGATGGCAAAAGGTAGAGGGCAAACTCAAACGATATCGAAATGTCAAAGAATCACTTTTACACAGGGTTTCTTTAAACCAATATAGAGAGTGATGCTTCCGATAAGAATAAGTGAAGTGACACGCTTCAGGCAGTTGTCCCAGTTTAAATTTTCATAAGCGGCTTTAATCATTGTGCGAAATGTCATTTTGCTTTAATTACCGTTCTTATTAAATTTGATCGTTTTAATCTGGTGCCTGTTTGGTTGGTGAATTGCATTGATCTGTACACCTCTGCAGCATTTCGGTTCCTGCTTATTCATATAGACAGAGGTTCTGCATGAACTCATGGTTGACATGTAAAATTATTTTCTTCCTTGACAGCTCAGCTCAAAATCAAAATGCAGGCAGGTCTGTCCATCACATTGTCACGTAAAGCGCTCCAAAGTCTGTGCCGCTCACTCCAGGCTCCGGAGGGAAGAGCGGCTTTTGCAAACTCCCTGGAATGCATGGTCCGCTGCTCAGAATAGATCACTGGAACCCTGTGCAAGCAGGGAGATAGTCTCCCCGATACCCATGAGCGCAATTTTCCCAGCTAATTCTCTATTCACTCTCAAGCTGGAAGTTTCCAAAGATTGGGAAAGTTGAAACTCAAAGCTTTGCAAATCCATCCAGAGTATAGTTTTGAAAGCATCATTCCCAGGAGTAAATCTGAAAATGGCTCCGCGAGTTTTCACAACAACATAAACTGTCCTAAATATGGGGAGGAGTGACATGTGGGCTCCTGTGTGGAATTGTCTAATCCCAGAACCATGTCCCAGGGTAGCAGAGCTCCATACAAAATGCCAGACATCACTTTTTGAGAGCTAGAGCTTACACTGCCTACACTATTTGGTGCTATTTTGGGTTATACAGGTTCATCAGTGTTCACTCTCCCCGGGACGGTGCAATTCGCTATTGTTGACAGTAAACCGATTACGTAAAGATGCAATGGAACTCGCACTTCTTGGGTGTTTTAAAGGCCGGTCGACGTTATACTTAAAGTCACTTGTGGTTATTGAGATGTCTTTTCATCTTTTATGCGCTACTCTGCAATGCACTCCTTAGCCAGTAAGTCCTCCTCATTATGCATTGTTGGAGACTGCCTTGGACTCTGTCTGGCTTAATAGAGTACAGTAGGTGAATAGTAATTGCTTTGCTCTCGCCGACTCAGAAATGGTGCAATCTTCAAAAGCAAATCAAATAATTTTTCTTCTTCAAAGAACAACATAGCAGTCTGATAATATGTGCAGATAGTAAGCTGGCAATTGATCACTGTCATGTAAATACTGTGAGTGGTGCACGCCTGCCCAACAAACATTTAATGAGTCCCAACAGTCCAGCTGGAGTGTTCACTGTGAAAAACAGAACATCTCGCTGACAGGCGAGACTTGAGCGACTAAAAAAAAATGGGGCGTTCAACTCTCTGTGTGTTTAAAAAAATCAGCCTTTGTGATGAATTTTTGATGTGTAAAGCACATCTTCAAGGCACACAATCATGTTTTTTTTTCTGCTGCATTCAACTTTGTTTTTTAAACAAACAGCCTTTTGGCACATACAAATTACACATTAATGATTTGACGAATGGGGAGTCAACTTGCTACGTTTACGTGGACACAATCGTAATGAAATCAATACATTCCATCAAGGTGTTTACATGAATGATAAATACAGTGATAATGTTCATGTGCGCGTTTATATGTGTCACAGGTTTCAAATCGGAAATTCTCCCTTATTGGTACTGTATTTGTTGTTTTAAACAACAGACTTAATATTTATCAGTCTCTGGTCATAATTTGGAGATGATGAGCACGAACCGTTTTGCCGTAGTATCACGTTGTATCACGTAGTAAAATCCCGCGCCCAAAAGTCGTGTGTGGATGAGAATCTAAAACAAGCACTGGTGGGACGTTGTCCTGCTCCACTTCACAGACACTGTGATTTATTTATTTATTTATTTATTTTTTTTTGAGAATGGAACACTCATTTATATGACACTTTATTCAACAGGAAGAACAGCTCGTTCCGTGCGTCTTACGTCATTACGCTGTTTCAACGTCATTGCAAACGCGGAGTCCTTTAAGTTTCGGTTTTCTCGGTCGGATTTTTAAAGGAGTAAACCACCCCTCTCAATCCGATCGAAATTTTAGTCGGATCGAGCTCAGTCGGACCGATTAAGTTTACATGAAGGTTTTTTAGTCCGATTGAGCCGTCAATCTGATTATAAGGGTCCATGTAAACGCAGCTGTTAAGAGTGTTCATATCCCATTTCAATAATTCAATTGAATTGAATAATAATTAATTAATCCTGCTTTGAAAAAAAGTGTAACTTATTAATTATCTTTATTCATTATGTTAATTTTTACGATCACTTTAATTTAAAAGAAAGTCAAACTCAGTGTGGAGTTTCTGATGTTGTTACGGTTAAGGGAAATATATTCAAACAGAAATAGCACTGCATGGACAACAGAACCCAAAATCTGGAAGTGTTGGGCATCTCCACCACCAGTTCTCTGTGACCTAGTTGAGTTGTTGGCACATTGTGAAAGCTTCAGCCCTCTGGCTACTTTTATTTATATAATGCCCTGACAGGATTTGTGTGGCCATCGAGATTTATGATTCATAAATCATGTCTTGGTGCTTTTGAATTATGGCTTTGTGCTATTCTTCTGATCTTTAGTGACAGTTATTTTGGGTCTTTCAATTCTTAAACTTTAAATAATAAAATTCTTTCTTACCCTACAGTTGCATCTTGACTACTCAAAATATCAACATACTGTAATCTGAGAGGATGCATTTTAGTTATGTTGAGTGTTGCCAATGGCATACAAAGGTCCATTATCTGCAGTCTGAAATCTTGAGAGCCTCTCTAATACAATTGTATGCTGTATTTGGTAGCATGTGACCATTTTAAACAATGATTCATATTGTTAAAACAGATTATTTTTAATTTTGCCTAAACAACAAATTAAAAAAAAGAAAAAGTTAAAGGGATACTTCACCCAGCAATGTCGTTTACTCACCCTCATGTCATTCCAAACTGACTTTATTTCTTTCTTTAGAATGAATGTTACTTATACTTTAGAGAAAAGTATTATACTTTATTTTCTGTGTAGTTATCTTGATTTATCTTTTTTCCTCTCATTTTCTCATTTTACAGAAGAAAACTAGTTTGTGTGGTCTATAAACAATGATCTTTTGTCATCTTGTTTTCAGATGTTAATATATTTTTGCTTAAAAACTTGCTTTCAAGCTTTTAAAAAAAGGAAAATTAAATTAAAGTGACTTGCTCACTGCTATGTTTGATGACTTACAGTGAGAACTTGAAAACTGGATGAGTTATTATTCACAGTTATTATTTTTGTAAAGTATCAGCTGATTTGTTTAAAAAAATGTTCAAACTCAAGAGTACCTTGTTCACATTGCTACTCTCATAAACATGACTAAAGGTCAAGAGCAACCAGCACATTTTTCAAAAAATCCTTTTTTTTTGTGTGTTCACTTCTGTGTCATACAAATTTGGAAGGACATGAGAGTGAGAGAATGAACATGATTTTTATAAATGTGACTGAACTCTCTCTTTAATCTTTCAAAAGAGCCAAAGGATCAAAAAGCTATTTGTAGCAAAACTGTTTCAGTTGTGAATATGACCATCTTTCTCTTTTCCCACCTTCCTTCCTCCAGCAGACCTTGCAGATCTTTGAAGAGAGTGCAACACCTACTCTGAGTATGGACTTGGCAAGTGAGACCCATGTTCTGGTGGTTTTACTCACCTGCCTATTCTTGATGTGCCGGGCTCAAGAGAAGGACTACACAGTAAAAGAGGAGCAGCCGGAGAATGTGCGCATCGGAAACCTGCGCAAAGACCTAAACTTGAACCTAGATCCAGACATTAAACTGTCTTCAGCGCTGCAGTTTAAACCTGTCTACAAGACAGGTGATGTGCCTTTGGTCAAGGTAGAAGCCAGCACAGGAGAGATTTTCACCACAGCCAACCGCATCGACCGTGAGAAACTCTGCTCCGGAGTCTTCAACGAGAAACGCTGCTTTTACGAGATCGAGGTTGCCGTGCTACCAGACGAGATTTTCCGACTGGTCAAGATACGCTTCCTCATCGAAGACATCAACGACAACGCCCCACTCTTCCAATCGACGGTTATCAACATCTCCATTCCAGAAAACACAGCCATCAACAGTCGCTACCCTGTCCCTTCTGCATTTGACCCTGATATAGGAATCAATGGGATTCAACACTACGAGCTTGTCAAGGTGAGTTCAACGTTCAGCTGTGATTTATTACAGTATGTGACGCTGCCATTTTATGGGCCCTTTATGTTCAGAATAAGCATAGTAAACAATAAAAAACATGTTTTTCGGCTCAAGGTTTTAAAAGAAATTTGCCTCTGTTTTGTTTAAGGTAAGTTGGTAATTGCACTGAGATAGATATGAACAATGGGGTGAACAGTACTAGGACTTCTAATTGATGTCTTCTGAGAAACTAGCGTAATATTCTCAGAGGCTTAATATAGTCTGCTCAAACTGGAAAGTAGGATAATGATATGCATGCTATTAAATGATATACATAGCAGATATGATGCATGTATATTTAACTTTGCCTTTTATACAGTGTCAGAGGGGCCAATCCGCTAAGAAGCGGTAAAAAGTCATTTAGCACAATCGTCTGGGATGTCGGTCAAAAAGCAGAAGACTGCGACACAACATAGTTCAGTGAATGAACGGGTATTCCCTAGAAAGATGGCCCTGTATTTTAATTAAAATTCAAATACTGTGTGAAATTCAAATACAGTGTGAAACAAAGAGCCCAAGACTGTCATTAAAGTGTGAAAGAGTAATTTGTACCTTTTCTTTTGAGAATTAGCCGAATCCTTGCTTTTCATGTCTGATTAAGTTACCAATTTGCATTTTTAAAGAGTCTCTCTCTTTCTCTCTCTCTCTCTCACACACACACACTCTCTCTGCCAATCCTGCTGCGGCTGTTTCGATTGCCTGTGCTTGGAAAATGACCAGTCCGTTGCCTCAAAAAATAACAATAAATATGTAAAGTCGCCGTTTCATTTTAGATGATTTCATTTGTTCTTCGTCTGCAAGTGTAGTGTTTCTTTTTATGAATCATGCATGCGAGTTTGGTGAGGGTAGATCTAAGTAAACAGAAATGGAAAGGGAGGATATGTTTCATCCTCTGAGGTTGTTGAAAGCATCCCACGAGCAGCATCTGGCCGTGAATCCACCTCTTGGACTGCGTTCGCATGGTCCTATGAGAGTACGAATCTCTGAAGCTCCCACACAGTAATGGTTTAGACCGGCTCACCATCAGCATGGAGCTGCACGATTAGCATTGTGGGCCACAGCTGCTGCAAACATAGCTTTGAAAGAGCTCTGATAGCAATCCCTCTTCTGCTCTTTACTCATTCCAGTCATGTCCCCTAAGGAGGAAGCCCTCGCTTATGACACAGAGGGCCGTTATTGCCTACCCTGGTTTTAATTGCGGTGCCATATTAATTGTTCCATCAGCATTAGTGTTGCCATGTCACCTGGAACGATGCACAGAAGCACCTCTGGACACTATCAAGGTCAGCCTACAGAAAGTAATACCATGCATGGCTGGAGGAGTGCTTTCCATTAGAAGAGATTTTTATCACTTAAAGAGAACCTCTTTACAAGTCCTATCTGGAGCCATGTGGATCAGATCAGGCTCATGGGATGAGGATATTGACTTTTCTGTTGTGGGTTCCACCCAACTCATTGTTATTTTTACCCTGCCATTTAAGCACTCTAACCTCACATTAAGAAAGCAGTTCCTCTCTTTTGAAGCCATTTGTGTGTTTTTAATCACCTGGGACTGTTCGTATTGTCATTTTAGATCTGCGGCACAGTCGAAACTTAAGAAAAGAAAGTATCCATTGGATTGCTTATTTGGGGAGTCAAGGTCAGCGCTAACGTTATCATTGGGTTTTCATCTGCGCCTGATTCCGATTTAAAATGGAAGAGAAACTAGTTCAGCTTAAATAATTTATTGAAATTGTGATTTTATTTTATTTTTTTAAGTTCTCACTTCTCCAGTTATTTCAGTTGAAGACAATGAGTAGAGCCAGTTGAATGATGCATTAATGATCAAGGGCTGACAAGTAACATGCCATAAAGAGTTTCTATGAACGTTGCACCACAAACGCTTCATATTGATTCTTGAGAAATATATCATCCTCTTTGAACACAGTAATTGTTGTGCCTGAAGTTGAGCTGAAGGGTTCTGACTCTTTCCACAAAAGTTTAGTTACCCAGGAATCGCTTGCAGTATAAAATAAATAAGAATTATCTTCTTAATCTTTTTCTTCAGCATTTATCCCGCATAGTAGCAGGGTCCGCTTTCCTTTGATACGATCTTCGGCTTGATCGGGTTGCAAACCCGTAAGCTTGTGGTGGTTGTGCAGCGTGTCGAGCCACCGCTGTTTCCGTCGCCCCTTTGGCCGCTTCCAAACTTGCAGTTGGAAGCCCATTTTGGCAAGCGTTGTATGGTCAGCGCGCAGGACATGGCCGTACCTCTGAAGCCAGGCTTCATGTAGCTCGTCAAATATTAAGGTAACACCATACTGTTGCAGAATGTCATCATTACAGGCTTGGTCGAAGCACATGATGCCAGAGATCCATCACAGCATTTTTGTTTCCATGACACAGAAACCGTGTTCTACATCTTTTGTCACCGGCCAACACTCAGCGCCATAAAGAGCAATAGGAGGAATGACAGTACGGTAGATCTTCGACTTGAGGCAGTCACTGGTCTTCCTATCACACGTGAAGCTGGCTGTCGTGCACCACTTAAGCCAGGCGGCGCTGACTCGCACAGTGGCTTCCGTGGTTCAGACTTCCATCAACTGGAATCGTTTAGCTATGATACTTGAATGTCTCGGTTCTTAGGTCAGTGCCGTCGATCTTCTATATAAAATAAATAAGAATAATTATAATAATTAGCTTATGGGAGAATATGCTCATTAAACTAAATGTTGTGTAATTATACTCCCTTGAGAATAAGTCTGAGTAAAAGTGAATCAACTTTAAGGGTGAGTGGATAAGGTAAACTGATTTCTGGGAGTGTTCTGGACAATAGTGGACTCTGGGGAAATTGTAGCAGATTCTAATTGCATGGCTGTCAGTTGGTTCCAGGTTTCATTTGTACTTAATTTTTGGCTGATTCTTCAGCCAAAGCTTGACCTGGCCAGGAGACCATGCTTGTGTTTTAGTCTTTAGTCTAAAATGTAATTAAATTTGATTATAATTGGTACTTGTAGTAAATTAATCATTATAGCTTGATGTGCATATTATTTAGGGCTTCATATGTTGGATGATATTCATATGTGTTATAACACAATGCAATGGTTCAAAGGTCTGAAATATTCAGTTTCTCAGTTGTTGGTACTGAGTTCATTCTGAGTTGTTGCTGTAGAAGGTCATCTCATTGATTCATACAACAGATTCTTCAGCCAGTCTGCAAAGCTGAGAGAAACGATGGGGTTGAACTATGCAAAATGAAGCCCACTAATGTTTAATATTCTACTGTTAGGGCATCACTCTATTTTCTGTTATTTATGACTGACATTCACTTTTGCGTATATTGACTGATTGCACTAGATAAATGGGTTCAACTTAAGCAAGTTTTTTTGTCATTGTCTAACTCCAAGTATCATCCTTAATCAGTCTTTTACTCGAATGAAAGAGATGTATTCCATGTGTCCATCATAATGCTCTACAGTTTAGTTGGTATGAATATGTAGATTAGTATGCACCACTTGTATTGATTTCAGATATTTGTCACTTCCCATGGGCCTGTGTTTCATGGTCTTTTGACTTTTGAGTCCATCTAAAGATAATCAGAATTTTGGGCCTGGCCTGAAAAGTTATGATTGATCCTCTCATCGTTTGACATTTTAAAACCAGACTCATTAGCTAATCTGTGTTTTATCTCCCTGAATAAATCTAAAGAGTTATTTATGATTTGTAAAAAAAAAAAAAAAAAACAGACACGACAAAGCACACCAAACAGACACGCTTCTCACAGATTCGTGTGTTAATTCTCATAAAAAAAATCTCCACGGTTGATTTGTGTTGACTGTATATGGAAGAAGGAGCTGTTCTGCAAATTGTTCCTTTAATAACCTTTCTGTTTTAATGCAAATTATGTCTTGTATGAGTCTTGATATGTGTTTCCGCATGTGTTGGTAGTACTGATAGCAGACCACAGATGGTCACAAAAGTGTGCCAAGAACCACCAAAGGGGGATGCTACATGATTTTAGCATGTACAAAGCTTACTTTGTCAACCAAATAAACACATTGTAGTTTGATATTGTAGTTAACTTGTACTGTAGCTGCTGCATGGTAGCTGCTGCATGCGTTGTGCCAATAAAAAGTGGTTTCTTAGTACGAGACTAAATGACTCAAGATTACTCATAGCATGATAAATGCATATAAATATCGTAATCACATTTGAAATATGTGCCTAGACAGAGTAATCTTTCCCAGCTTTATGTGTGGCTGGAAGCTTATCTCTTAAGAAAGTTGCTGCTTCTTGTTCTAGCATGAAAATGTTTTTGACTGAAAGAGCTTCAAAGAGCCTCTTTGTCTCACAAATGTGCTTGACTCTCATTCAGGCACTGTTCCCCTGTCTAAAATATAGAATATATGTGATGTTTTCCCGTACCATGTAGCCTGATCTGTAATCACACACATCAGGGCTAGTTTTGGTAGGAAGGCAATTATTTTAAACAGTCGAAGCTGGTCCCTCATGGGGATTACATATGCATTTGTTTTCATTTTCCTCAGGCTTTGGTGTTGCCTAGATTTAGCTCCTTGCCGGAAGAGGGGTTTTTTTTTTTAGTGTTCAGGTTTTTCTTTTTCTTTAATCTGTGGTGGTCTTGCAGTATATTTAAATGGAAGCTTATCTATTTTACTCGTTTGCCTTGCTCACATATGAACTTGAAACTGCACAAGTTGTCTTCCATAAATTAAAAAAGAGTCTTGCTAGTTGGGTAAAACAATAAGTAGTATGCAGCAAAGCATAAAACTATAGTATAGAGGATTAGACTAGAACTCACTGTTTCATTATTATACTGTAATGAGATGCACTTTGGCTTTGTGACTTGTACTGGTTCGTAGAAAATGTGTTTTTGTTTTTTAAATGTTAAATCTGAAATTTTATGTCAGACTTGCAAATGGTTTTAAAACACACAAAAGTAAACTAAGTGTGCTAATTAAGGAATCAGTAAAGGTCAGAGAGCAAAAAAAAAATAGGGTCAATGAAAGGCTAGCTGTAATATTTGTAATATTTGATAGGGGAATATGTGCATCGATTCATGCTCACCCATATGGAATGACACATGGTAATTTTCTGTCCAGCATTTTTTTTTTTTATTGTTTACCACATCTTAGACCTATTTACTTTAATGGGAGAAATGGTGTTCAGTGCATCGTTTATGTCACATTTATTTTTCAGGTGCTCGATGGAACTGTTTACTGTGTGGGGATCCAGTGTTTGCTTTATAGGATAATATCCCCCGGATGGGCTTTTCAAGTAAATATTTTGAAGACCTTGTGCAGTTTCTCATAGGATTAAATAACTTTAACCCCAAGGTTTAATTCTGAAGCTAAAGCCAACATCTGTTAAAAAGCCAGAATAAATGACGGGCTCAAACACATTAGTGTTTGTATGTTTCTTACGTGTGTCTGTAAGTTCTGACATACAATAAAAGCTAGAATAGGCTAGTAATATGCACAACAACAGCAATAAACATATGCAACAGACAGGAAAAATGCTAAATGTTTAGTTCAAACAAAAACATCAAGTGGAGGTGTCCTCTAACTGACGCTTAACTAAACAATTTAAAAATGTACTGTTTTTGGTTGTATTTTCCAGAGTGTGAGCGAATTTGGCCTGGACATCATTGAGACGCCTGAAGGAGACAAATGGCCTCAACTCATAGTCCAGCAGAGTCTCGACCGGGAGACGAAAGACACCTTTGTGATGAAAATTAAAGTTGAGGATGGTGGCACACCTCCAAAGTCCAGCACAGCCATTCTGCAGGTGACTGTCTCAGATGTGAATGACAATCGGCCGGTGTTCAAGGACAGTGAGGTGGAGGTAAACGTTCCTGAGAATGCCCCAATGGGAACATCTGTCACTCACCTTCATGCCACAGATGCTGATCTGGGGTCCAATGCTCAGATTCACTTCTCCTTCAGCAACCAAATCTCCCCTGCCACCAAACGACATTTTGCTATTGACAGCACAACTGGACTGATTACCGTCAAGCAGCCATTGGACAGGGAAGTCAACCCAGTGCACAAGCTTATAGTGCTGGCCAGTGACGGAAGCTCTACCCCTTCAAGGGCTACAGTGATAGTCAACGTAACAGACATTAATGACAATGTCCCCTCTATAGACACCCGTTATATAATTAATCTAGTTAATGGCACTGTGCTGTTGTCTGAAAATGCCCCCCTTAACACAAAAATAGCTCTAATTACTGTGACAGACAGAGATGCAGATCTGAACGGTAAAGTAACTTGTTACACTGATCATGATGTACCTTTCAGACTGAAGCCGGTCTTCAACGACCAGTTTTTGCTTGAAATTGCCGCACCTTTAGATTTTGAGACCACTCGCGAGTATGCCATTAGGATAGTCGCATCTGACTCTGGGAAACCTCCTTTAAACACTTCGGCAATGGTTCTGATTAAAATCAAGGATGAGAATGACAATGTCCCAGTTTTCCCTCAACCTGAAATCCAGTTGTCCATTCCAGAAAACAATGACCCCGGCACACAGTTGATAAAAATCAGTGCAACAGATGCCGATAGTGGTTCTAATGCCCTTATTATTTACAGTCTTGGGCCAGATGCTCCTGATGGGTTTAACATAGATCCCCGGTCTGGTATCCTTTCTGTTGTCAAAAGGCTGGATAGAGAGAAGCAGGAGAAGTATTCATTCACAGTCATTGCCAGGGATAATGGTTCCACCGCTCTTCAAAGCAATGTCACCGTAAAGCTAATAGTCCAAGACCAAAATGATAACACTCCGTCCTTTACCCACTCCGAGTACAACTTCTATGTGCCTGAGAACCTGCCTTTGTATGGAACAGTTGGTTTGATCACTGTCACGGATGCAGATGCTGGCGACAATGCAGTCGTCACCCTCTCGATCATAAATGGAAAGGACAATTTCATTATCGACCCAAAAACCGGGGTGATTAAACCAAACATTACCTTTGACAGGGAGCAACAAAGTTCCTACACATTTGTTGTCAAGGCTGTGGACGCAGGTCAAATGCAAACCACCTCATATGCCCAGGTCACCATAAACGTTGTTGATGTGAATGACAATCGACCAGTGTTTGTCATCCCGTCCTCAAACTACTCCTATGATCTAGTACCTTCAACCACCAGCCCTGGATCTGTGGTGACCAGAGTGTTTGCCATTGACAATGACACGGGTATGAACGCAGAGCTGCAGTATAGTATTATTGGAGGGTCGCCGAGAGGATTGTTTGCCATTGACAAAACGACGGGCAACATTACTCTGCAGGAGAAGATTATAGGGACAGACCAAGGTCTCCATAGGCTAGTGGTAAAGGTTAAGGATTTGGGACAGCCTGAGTCCTTACATGCAATTGCCCTTGTTCATTTGTTTGTGAATGATACTGTCTCCAATGCCACGTTCATCCAGGAGCAACTACGCAAGAGTTTGGAGACTCCCTTGGAGCGGAACATTGGGGACAACGATGTGACACCCCAGACCAATGGCTATGTGATTGTCGTTATTGCCATAATTGCTGGGACTATGACTGTTATCTTGGTGATCTTTGTGACTGCTCTGGTACGCTGTCGACAGACACCGAGACACAAAGTTGTCCAGAAGAGCAAGCAGAGTGGTGAGTGGGTATCACCAAACCAGGAAGGTCGGCAGATTAAAAAGAAAAAAAAGAAGAAGAAGAGGTCTCCAAAAAGTTTGCTGTTGAATTTCGTAACCATCGAGGAATCCAAGTCCGATGACCCTACCCATGAGCACATCAATGGCACCTTAGACCTCCCCGTTGAACTTGAGGAGCAGACAATGGGAAAGTACAACTGGGCTACCACACCGACTACCTTCAAACCTGACAGTCCTGACTTAGCCAAGCACTACAAATCCGCTTCCCCTCAGCCAACATTCCAGATCAAACCAGAGACCCCTGTGGCTCCCAAGAAGCATCATGTCATCCAGGAACTCCCGCTGGACAACACATTCGTCGTGGGCTGTGACTCACTATCCAAATGTTCCTCCAGCAGCTCCGATCCCTACAGTGTTTCAGAATGCAGCTGTCAAGGGAGCTTCAAGGCACCTGGACAAATCCACACCAGACAGGTAATTCATAACTTCCTTTCTTCAACCATGTGAAATGGAGGGTGGCAGCCACATGTTCTGAGCTTCAACAAGGGCTCAAAGATGCATGCATGTAAGGATACAATATGCAACTTACAATTGGGAGGTTGTTGGTTTTATGGTTGTGTGTTCGTATTAACAAAAATGCCATTTCACTTCTTTGCTGAAGAATACTGTAGGAAAAATGCCACAAATTATCAACTGAAGGAACATTCTACACATTAGGAAGACTTTGACCGACAGCGAGAAGTTGGATAGCTTTGATTATTCGATATTTTTCTTTTTTCCGAATTAGACATTTAATTCTAAAGAGTAATTATTAGCAAAACAACTTTCTGTATCTATGAAAAACAAGAGTGCTATCTTGAGATTACAGCTATGTTTGTTCTTGATTGACATGCCAAAACCAAGCATGCTTGACAGAAAACCAAACAAGATAGGGTTGTGTTTCACAGGGGCAACTGAACAGATGCACACTGCTGAAACAATTGTTTCCCACAGAAATGCTTGATAGAACTCATTAGAGCTAAAACTTGTAACATAGTAGGGAAATGATGATTATTTTTAAATAGAATTCCAAACTCAGTCCAAAGGAAACATTATAAGTTGTCTCTGAGGGAAATTGCTAGCATTAATGAGATGAAGGTTCATTTGAATACCAGTTTTCTAGTCTATGGTTCCAGAGGAGATGTGCCAAATGCAAAATAGCTAATAAATAAAAGCAGGTGAGGGACATAAATGTAAATTGGGGTGGAGAGAGAGGTGGCTTCGCAGTGGCAACTGGTCTTTCTCGCAGAGTGGAAGACTGAGCTGTGCGATTGTAGGTCAGAGAGATCAAGGTGAAGACAGAGCTGTGGGACCGTGAGACTTAAATAGAAGCATATTCACTAATAGCCTGAAACACCATCCATTTTACCTATCAACTGCATGTTTTTAATGACCAGGCATTGAGTTTGCCGCATAGCCATTTTCTTGAGTAGGTTAGAAAGCACAGGACTGCGGTCAGGAAAGTAAGTTGGCACTACTCCAGAGGCCCAGATTCAAACAAGACTGAGCATGTAAATAGTGATAGGACACTAGATAAGACACTATTGACATGAACAGTAACTAGCTTTCTAGTTTATTTTTTTTAGCACTAGCATTCAATCACAGACAATCTTGTTTTTTTAGGTTTTTTTTTAATGTAATATCATGCCATCCACGGTGAGCTCTTGTACCTATTGAAGAAAATCCCCCTCTGCATATTTCTTACAAATTACAGTATATCCACTCAGACACATTGTGCGCATGGTAATTTAAGGTGACACCCACACATAGCTGATGTTCCATTTTCACCATGAGGCCTTTATTTTAAAATGCAGTTAAAAGCAACGCTCTGCCATGGTGCATTATGAGCCTGAGATTATGGAATGACACATAATTCAGGTTAGGTTTGTAATTTGCCCTGCCAAAGTTGTCCTCCTTCTTCTGTACGTTTTGAAATATGCAGAAATATTTGTTGAAGTTTTTGAAACCTTGCATCAGATTTTGCTTGCAATGTTTGTCAAAAAATCCTATTCAGATGGTGCCATGTACTGTCAATACTATAGTTACCAAAGCAAAATATATATATATATATATATATATATATATATAGAGAGAGAGAGAGAGAGAGAGAGAGAGAGAGAGAGAGAGAGAGAGAGAGAGAGTTGTATCAAACGTTCATAGAATTTATAATCTGTTACACAGTTATTTTTTGCAATTAATTTAATTTGTCCATTTCAATTTAAGTTGTTATAACACTTTGTTTTTATTGATGTCTTCACTATACTATGTGTTACAAGCTTTGGCAATATTGTAATATGTACAGTCATGCCAATAAAGCAATTTGAATTGAATTGAATTGAATTGAGAGAGAGAGAGAGGTTTTATGATTTCAATTATTATTATTATTTTATTGACTGGGATATACTGTAAAGATTGCATTCTCAAAAATCCTCCCTTTCTTTGAGCAGTTCAAAACCTATATGAGCAGTTCAAAACCTGTATGCTTTGACTATTGAATTAGCCCATTAAAAAAAGAAAGAAAGAAAGAAAAAAGGCTATACTATCCTGAATAATCTTCAATTCTGAAGTAAAGTGCTCTTTGTGTAGTATCTAAGCATTCCACTTTTGGCAAACCTTATTTCGGTTTTCATACAATAGCAATTGTTTATTTATATTTCTTCTTACTTAGTCATTGTAAACAACACTTTGAAAGCAGTTGAGAGACATTACTGACAGAGAGACACCAGATATTGAAATATCTTGAATATTAGATCATGTCCCATACCCGTTGGCCCCATATTTGCTGCATTAGCTGTGGTGTCTCATGTTAGCTATAAAGCAGTAACACAAATGTCAGCATTACTTAACTTTAGTGGCCCCATCTCGATGTCTGAGAAACATCATGTCTGAATGTGCCATGATGAATAGGAGCAAGAACATTTGTAGCGGCCATTAAAGGATGCATTTCTCCCAGGAAACACTCGTTGATGAAGGTCAATGGGATGCTTAGGAGGCTGGGAATGATGTCAGCATCAAAGAAAAGCTTGTCAAAATACAACGTAGTTATGGGCCATATGGCTCATAATACCATCAGAGGTCCATTCTGCATTCTGCTCAGCACCACGAACCTCTTTCCCGCCCCTTTCACTCATCTCTGCCTTTCTTTTATCTTTTGCACTCCTTGTTCTCAGACAGTGATTTTAGAGGTCAGTCCCTCCGGTGGTGGTGGGGCTTCTGTCTGAATATACACTTTAGTTGTGGCAGATCAAGTAAATTCCACCGTACTTGACTGATCCCTGCAAGGCCATGAATATGCAAGAATGCTAGTCAAATCAAACACCATAAGGCCTCTATATTCAGAGATGGGGTGTATTTGAGGTCAGTAGCTTCACCATTCTAACCTCATGTTACTTGCAAACCCGCCTTCGTTCGGATTGGTATGACTATACCCTCACAGGTTTATGGGGCCTCACAGTCAAACACATTTTCTTTGCATCAGGCTTCATGGTATTGCTTTTCAAGCTTTTCAAAAACATCATAAAATATGGGAGAGGATGTCTTTGAGTTCACAGTTTGTGCTCTTACCCACCCTCGTTTCAATAATTCTACTTCATTTTTGAATCTCACCGGCAATAGGGCAGATGTGCCTAGATTTCTAACAAACACATTTTTTATAAATTCATGAAGTGATTAATCTCTCTTGAATTTATCCCTCTCTCTTGAATTTCTCTCTCTCTCTCTCTCTCTCTCTCTCTCTCTCTCTCTCTCTCTCTCTCTCTCTCTCTCTCTCTCTCTCTCTCTCTCTCTCTCACACACTCACACTCACAATTAAACTAAAGATTTTTGAGATAAATGTGAAAGACTGGAGATTTTGTTTATTGATACAATTGCACTAAAATTAAAGCAAATACAAGCATGTTTTCTGATTATATTTTTTCATTATGCAATGTAAAAAAAAATATAAATATCTCCTGGAAGATTCAGTCTAATTCCAGGTGGGCCACTTCGTCATGTTTTACATAGGATGTGGAAGCAAAAGGCTCTAGTTCATTTTCAATGAGAGACACATGGAAAGCAGCAAATCGGTGGAATTTTTTTTAGCTGTGAAACGACGGTGTGCAAGCTACGCTCATTCACCCGGAATCATGTCACTTGCACAGCTCTTCGTAGCAGTTATACATTTTAATACATGCCGAATATAAATATTACGCAAACAATAAGTTGAGTTACGTCACTTATGCCTAACTTTCTCTCACAAACACACAAGCTACATAACCATTATACCTTTCAGAAGTGTGTTTCGGGCTTCAAAATCATTAGTCATCTCCAGCGGTAAAAGTCGTCATCTTTTGTATTTACTGATAGTTATATTCGTTTTGATGACATTTTTGGTTGTTTATCAGGGCATGTGGACCAATTCCGCTCTAAAGAGTGGAGTGGGGTGGGGGCGGGGCGGGGCAGGGCAGGGCGGGGCAGGAGTGGCACTACTAGGTAGAATGATGGAAAGTATATTTAGATTTAGAACTAATGGGGTAATAACTTTTCGAATATAAGTCCAATAATTATAAGTGAATGTCCCAAAAATAAATGAATTATTTAAATTAAAAAAATAAAACTCTTTCTTTCGTGCCAGCCTGACTGTGCTGCTGCTCTAGTCGGCTTCCTACTTTGCCTTTAGGCAACCAGCAATTCCCCATCTGCAATTCTTGTGCATCTTGGACTTTAGTAATATATTCTACATGGAAAACTTTTTTTACCATTAGTTACTTTCATTAGTTACCATTTATTTCCATAGAGAATCACAAGGTAAATACAAGTTTGTAATTAACATATTGTCCTGAGGCTTGATGGATGTGTTGGTTATTTTATAAAAAATAAAATAATAATAATAATTATATATATATATATATATATATATATATATATATATATATATTGTGTGTGTGTGTGTGTGTGACATGACATGACATGACACTAAAGACTGGGATTATTACTATGATTACTAGGATTGTTTTAAATTGCAACATAATTTCACATCATTACTGTTTTACTGTGTTTTTGAAAAAAAAAAAAAAAATCAGCTTCTCAGTTGTGGTCATACAATTATTAAATGGCCTCACATAGAAATCCATATATGTGTTGCTGCATTTTTGCAGTAGGAGCAGCAGTGTGAGGTAGATTTTTTTCTTCTTCCCAAAATAACCTAAATCCATTATATACATTTTACCAGCATGCGTTTCCTTGGAAATTAACAATGAGCTTGACATTGTGTTCTACCAGTTGAGCTGCACTTTAACGTCACTGCGGTCAGCTTGAAAAAAAAAAAAAATCTCTAAAGTTGCTTATCTTTTATTTAGATTTTTTGGCATTGTTGAAGAGTAACTAGAGCTTTGAAATGGTACTTTTCTCTTGCACTGTTGCTTGCAGATATAGATTTCAGTGATGAATTTAAGAGG